TTGAAATTTTTCAAAATAAAAAATTTGGGAAAAGTTAATGCATAAGAAAAATATCTGCAAGTCATGAATACTATGCAGAAATTCAGAAAATAGTTGTAAGACAGAATGACTGGGTGGCAGTATTAGAGCATCTTTTCTTGAAGACATGATATTCGGGCTAAGATATGAAAGACAGCAGGGAGCTATTTATGTGAAGACATCAGCAAGAGTCTTCTAGGTCCCACCATCTCCCTTCACCCTGTAAAAGAAAAAAAAAACTTATCCTAAGGCCCTGAAATGTTCTGTGTTCAAGTAAGCCAATGTGACTGAAGTATAGTAGGCAAAGAAGGGAGTAGTATAAAATAAGACTAGAGAGAAAGGGAGGTGTCAAATCCCATGGGGATAAAGAATTGTGATTTTTAACTAAGTTCAATGGCATCATCACAGAATTTAAGACAGAAATGAGCTGGGATGAGATGAAATGTGTCCTTGTTTAAAGATTTTAAATATCTCGCTGCTGTCGATTAAGTGAAGTGTTTAAGAAAAGAAGTAAAGAAACTATTGCCATAGTCCCCACAAAAGACAGTAGTTTGGAGGAGAGTGGTGGTAATGAAGATGGTGTATATAAGACGTATTTTGAACGATGAACTGACAATACCTATCGATGTATTTACAAAGGATGATGAGAAAAAGAGGCATCCAGGAGAAACTATGAGTTTTGGCCTGACGAAAGGGTTGGCATTTACTGAGATGTGGAAATTCTGGGAGAAGTAGTTTGTAGTATGGTAGACTTGGGGATCAAAAAAAAGTTTTTATTTAACTGGGCATGATTTGTGATTGTGAGAAAGACAAGCAAAGGAAAAGAATCTGAATAATCTGGAAGTTGTTAAAAGACAGGTTTTGGATTTACAATTTCTTTTCCTTTCACAAATCAATTTTGACTTGATTGTATTAAGGATCTTTGGTCCAGTAAAAAGATCAAACTTCAACAGAAACCAGGCTCACTGATTACTGCTGTCTATCACTGAGGTTAAAGACAAACTGAAGATCAATAGCTCTGTATCTCTAAACTTAGATAGGTCCAAAGAAAAAATCAGGAACAAGAATGAGGAAAACCAGGTAGTCCAAAAAACAAATACATACAAGTAACATATTAAGTCTTAACAGTCTCTCACCTCGTCAAGGATAGGAGACTGTCTGCTTCTTCAATTCCACATATAACACACTTAAGTACCTTACAGTATTTCACACAAAGCAGTCGCTCCAATTTTAGCTGCTATACTCTAATCCCATTAGTTTAGACAAAGTATAATAAAAAGTCTGTGGTCTTTGGAACCAAATAAACCTGAATTTAAACCAGGGTCCACCACTCAGTAGTTCCTGACCTTGAGCAAATTACTTACCATTCCCAATCATTAGTTTCCTTAAGTGTCAATGAAAATAATTAAACCCAAGAATTAGCATTAGAAACAACATTTCCAAAGTGTCTGGCCTAAGGAAGAAATGCTCTTTAAACTGGAGCTACCATTATATGAAGGGCACTAATTCATCAATGCTCAATGCAAGGAGTTTCCTACTTTGGCAGCATAGATTCATGTTTCCAGAAGAAAAGCAAACACATGAGAGAAGAGGAAATCACGTAAAACTGGATGAATTTCATTTTCATCACATAACACAGAAAGAAGTAAAAGAGAGAAATCTATGAATAGGTATAATACATGAACAATCAACAACTTACAAATGGATAGGTTCAAAGGTTTAATTATAATTCAGTTGTTTAGAACTAGAAACACATTTTCCCATGAAATCATAACCATAGTTAAAATGTGATATATCTCAATAAAATCAGTAGTAAAAAACTTATAAAATATCAAACAATACAGAAAGCCAACAGACTTTAATAAAACATAATGTATTTTAGAAACTAGCACTTCAAGGAAAAGATTTTATGCAAGGCTTCTGGGGTGATTCAGAAGAAAGTTTCAGGGAAATTCCAAAAGCTTTATAAGAGCTGATGACCCTAGTTCTTTATATTTTATTTTACCTCGTATTTTACAGCTTCCCTTTCTTTCAGTATAAGCAAAACACTAGTACTCTTATACTTAATAGCCATGATTGCTATCATTTATTTCACAAGTGAGAGAGAGTAATTGGGGAAGAACTATAAGAAAGATGGGAAAGAGGAAGGAGTCATACAGGATGTACCCAAGTACAAAGAAATGAGACCTTAGATTAGATTAGATAACCTCAGTAGGAAAAAATAAAAAATGAAAAGGAGTTAAAGCACATTAAAATATTGAGGGAGGAAAGCAAAGCGATGAGAACTGATTAGAGAGAGGTCCATCATGATGAACTGGTTATCTTAAAGACCACAGGTTATAACAAAAGGGGAAGATGGCCAGGTGTGTTGGCTCACACCTATAATCCCGGCACTTTGGGAGGCTGAGGTGGGCAGATCACCTGAGGTCAGGAGCTCAAGACCAGCCTGCCCAACATGGTAAAACCCCTGACTCTACTAAGAATACAAAACAAAAAAAATTAGCTGGGCATGGTGGTGCGTGCCTGTAATCCCAGCTACTTGGGAGGCAAAAGCAGGAGAATCGCTTGAACCCAGGAGGCAGGGGTTGCAGTGAGCAGCGATCGAGCCACTGCACTCAAGCCTGGGCAACAAGAGTGAAAACTCTGTCTCAAAAAAAAAAAAAGTGGAAGAAAAGGCATGAAACCAAGCAAAGCAATCCACAACCTGCTATTTACACCAATGGAATGCTAATGAGTCCAAGATTCACCATTCAAAATGTGGCACTGTGGTGTAACTGTAGATTTTCTTCTAATCCTTTTTTTTTTTTTTTTTTTCTTTTTTATGAGATGGAGTCTTGCTGCCACCCAGGCTGGAGTGCAATGGCGTGATCTCAGCTCACTGCAAACTCTGCCTCCTGAGTTCAAGCAATTCTCCTGCCTCAGTCTCCAGAGCAGCTGGAACTACAGGTGCATACCACTACACCCAGCTAATTTTTGTATTTTTAATAGAGACGGGGTTTCACCATGTTGGCCAGGCTGGTCTTGAACTCCTAACCTTGTGATCCACCCACTTCAGCCTCCCACAGTGCTGGGATTACAGGCATGAGCCACCATGTCCAGCCTCTAATCCCTTTTTTTAATTTCCCTAAGTTTCTCTAAATATTGTCCTTTTTTATGTAGACACTATTATGATAATAGTATTATATCCAATGAGGCAAATAATACCTAAACTAGAACTAGAAAAAGGGCTTTCTAAATGTAAAGGCATCTGACAGGATGAAATTAAACTATTTTAGAAAACTATCCTCAAAAGCCAGTAGGTATATTATATGCCTCTCAGGCAATGAGGAACACCAGTGGTTTCAAACCATGGACAGAAACTTGATTTTTCTCAACAAAGAAATCACAGAATCAGTTCCACACAGTCCAATTTATTTAGCAGTCTCACAAATGTTCCTATGAAATACTGAAATGTTTTTTTTGAAATGTTGATGATTCTGAAAAAAAATTAATAAAGAGATGAGGCTGTCAGATAACATAGGATTTTCTATGGTCTGGTCTTAAATCCAGGATCTTTAGCAGTAAGACAGATTTTTGCAAAGCAAACAACAAAACACAACTAATGATGAGCAAAGTCCAAATAACTTAGACAGAACCAACTAGAAGTGAGGATGCAATAAGCCAAGCTGCTTTTCAGGTCATTAAAGAACTGCTAAGCTAGATTGTTCCATTTGCAAAGAATACACTTATTAGTAGAAGCGATCACTTCCAGACCAATAAGATATTTCTATGTATCACAACTATATAAACTCTACCAAATCAAATGCTCTCTTAGGGCAGAAAATAGACCTAAATAGTCTTAATGAGAAAACAGGCCTACAGAAATGTTTGAGTGGTGTGCTGAGGTGCTTGGACTAAGGAGTGCAGGAATGCCGAGAAGATGCTGGGATTGCTGACTACAAGCATTACCCAATTTCTTTCACCTCTGTACCAATTTCTGTTAAATATATACAATCACTGACTTGATTTTAAACCTGTAAAGTTATTTAACAAATTTTTTTTTTGAGACAAAGTCTCATTCTGTCGCCAGGCACCAGGCTGGAGTGCAGTGGTGCAATCTTGGCTCACTGCAATCTCCGCCTCCTGGGTTCAAGCAATTCTCCTGCCTCAGCCTCCCGAATAACTAGGACTACAGGCATGCACCACCACGCCCAGCTAATTTTTGTATTTTTAGTAGAGACAAGAGTTTCACCATGTTGGCCAGGATGGTCTCGATCTCTTGACGTCGTGATCTGCCCGCCTGGGCCTCCCAAAGTGCTGGGATTACAGGCGTGAGCCACCACGCCTGGCCATTTAACAATATTGTTAATCCGTAATAGCGTGCCCTTACACATTTTCTCAATTAACTCAAAAATAGTTCTCATGAGTACCAAGAATATTTTTAAAATTAAAAAGTTGGGAAACACTGCCCAAATACAAGTATATGTAAAACAACCACTAAAAAGTCCTCCAGTCTACCTTTTATTACAATTCAGAACATTCAGTTCTAATTTCCCTATTTTATCTTTCCCATCTAGCAAGATTAAGCTGATACCTAACATCTTAGAAACAGGCAAAAACTTAAAAGAACTATGTCAAATGTGGTATCTTCATTTTAATCCAAATGTCCTTAATTTTAAAAGCCACATTCAACTATGTACATATAAATTGACATTAAACTTATATCCAATCTTAAGAATTCTTAAGACAATTCCTTCTTTGAATTGGCCTGTGATTTCATCTTACAAAAGAGCTATTTATAGTTAAGGTCAAATTACTCTTTAAAGTCTCCTTTAATAATAGAATTTGGTAATTCAACTGATAAATTCTTCCAGAGCAACAAGTAATCAAAACTAAAACTATTAAAATATTATTTGCTCTATGGGAATTACTTATTACATGTTGACTCAACCATGTCTACTGAAAGACACAGAAACCCTACCAAAGTTAATTTAAGGACTTACCAATTTCCCTTGCAATTCTGACAGCTTCTTCTGCATCCTGTAAAAGCAGGAAATGAGACTCAACATTAATCCCATGAGGCATTGCACAATGTCTTTAGGGCAGTCATATATTGCACTACTGTCTCCTCCGATTCATTTAATGTTCAATTTTACAACCTTCTAACCCTTTTCATTCAGAGAAATGTAAAATTAATACCATAAGTGGAATGTAAATTCTACCTCATCATTATTATATTAAGAAACTCAAAGCAGTTGAAATGAGCTGGCAGGAAGCACTATCAGAATTGCCAATGATTTGGTGCAGTTGCCGGAATTTAACGGCAGAATTTAGATGTTTACCATCAATACTGAATCATAAATCAGGTCATTAAAGCTTGTCCGCAGCCAGCTTGTTTCTGTCTGATATTATGTGTCATGTTTTCCTAGATTCTGTCAGCAGGGGGAGTTGATTCTCTATTGTTTGGGAGTAGTTGATTGATTTTCCAGAAATATAAAGGTAATTTCCAGTACCCACAGGAATTACAAATTGTTCCCAAAAATCCCTTTGGTAATCTACATTACCTTTTCTGTTCTATTTTTTCTTTTGTCTTTTTTTAAGGTGTATATTTTATCTCTACAATTGTACCTTGTTACATAAATTAAAACTTTAATTTCAATGAACCAACTATTGAAGAAAAAAACTCCAAAAAGCCAAAGAAAGAAAATGCCTTCCTAAACAGTAAGAGGTAAGAGTATATCCATTTAAGGATTAGTTATTGCTAAATATTAACCAATGCCACTTCTACCTCTAAGAAGCTGAAAAGACAAAAAATTCCCTTGAATCTTACTAATTTCACTGATCATTAACCCACACCTAATACATCCAACGCAGGACACTCCTGAAACATTTCCCCAAATAACAATAAAGATAATATTTAAATCTAACCCTTCTTCCTGTGTGTGTGTGTGTGTGTGTGTGTGCGCGCGCATGTGTGTGTAAATGTAATTCAGTGACACAAACTAAAGTACCACAAAGACTGACAATATTGTTTTGAAACCACAGCTGGTAAGTGTGACTACATTTTTAGAAAATGACTAAATATGCTGAAGTGAAGCCCAGTGTTTGTTAAGCTTTTAAGCTAATACATTTAAAATGTAGAACAACCATGTCAGAATCCTCCCAGAAATTGGGGAGAAGGGGGATGTTTATAACTGGTTCACTTATGTCTAATAAAAAAAAATCTTCCTTAAAGGTCTTCAGTACCTAATAACATCCCCTGAATAAGGAGGTTGGCAGGGGAAGTTGTCAGAAAAATTTAATTTCCTTTCATTAGCCAGTCTGCTCCACAAATAGGTGCTTGTTAAGTTCAAAGCGGTCCTGAAAGCAACATCAGTTTTAAGTTTTTTTTACTCCAAGCAGTCACATCTGCTAATGAGATTTTCCAAGTAACAATTGTTTTCAAGTCAGAGATAAATCTATACCTCCCACCCTACGCCTTCTAAAATCAAGGTTTACTGCTTTATTACACCTTGCTGTTTTCGCTGACCCTACATTCTCCAAATTTTAGCTTAAAGGGATAAAAATCCATGAAAAGGGTCATTTAAGAATGTTAGTGGTTTCCACACATTGAGTTGGAAGGTTCTTTGTTCCAGCCAGTGACAGTTATTGGAGAATACTTCCCCTTAATAGCCTCTCTGTCAGGAAGTGTTAAACCTGCCAAATGCGAACAATTAGTGCCTCTTGAACAAAATACAGGAAGAATGATGGCTGATGAAGACTGGATTATAATAAACCTAGAAGGAAACTTTAACATTTCTTTTCTTTCCAATGTGATGAAAGAAAATAACCTGCTATCTAAAAAGTTTATCGCTTCAGAGAACAGGCAAGTTTTAAAAGGTAAGTCAAAAATTCATTAGTCATATTTTGTCCCTTATTTGTATATAAGTGTTATAGTTGTGTGCGTGGATATATAAAGCCATATCTATCTCTCACATAGCAAACTAAAAATTCCACTGTCACAAAACCAACACTTCCATAGAATGCCACAAAGCAATCCTATCTTTCAACTTAAGAGTATGCTTAAGTTTTCTTACTATGAAAATCAAATTCTACTAAATCAACTTTCAAATAAAACCAAACTGCCTTAAAAGTTAACTTTTCGCTTGTCACTCATTCATCCAAAAATATTTTACTGAGGACCTATTATGCACTGGACATTTAAAATCAAAAGCTCTATTACTCATTCAGTAATAAACTACTAAATATTATACATTCAGCTCCAATATGGTCTTTCAGAACATAAAGTTTTATTATCCGGCTCTACAAAATTACTTTTGAAGAGATAAAAAGCCCTATATAGCTCCAAATTCACTGGCACTAAGTGACATCACACCATAAAGTTTCCCAATAACATCATAAGTTTAAATTTGTTTAATAAAACTCTGAATCAACTAAAAAAAGACCAAAAATCATCACCAAAAATGGGCAAAAGATTAAATTAAAAGTTCACATAAAAACAGTTTCAAAAGAATAATATCTATGCTCAGCCTTGGTCATATTTACAGAAATACAAATTAAAACAATGAGACCTCACTTTTCATCTAGCAAATTAAAATCTGATAACGGCCAGGATGACAAAGTTAAATACGAAGTTTTGCTCTTGTTGCCCAGGCTGTAGTGCAATGTCGCGATCCTGACTCACCACAACCTCCACCTGCCAGATTCAAGTGATTCTCCTGCCTCAGCCTCCCAAGTAGCTGGGATTACAGGCATGAGTCATCACGTCCAGCTTTTTTTTTTTTTTTTTTTTTGTATTTTTAGTAGAAACAGGGTTTCTCCATGTTGGTAAGGATGGTCTGGAACTCCTGACCTCAGGTGATCCACTTGCCTTGGCCTCCCAAAGTGCTGGGATTACAGCTGTGAGCCACCGCACCCAGCCAGTGCAATCTTTTTTAAAAGAAATTGTCAGACAGGCACAGTGGCTCACAGCTGTAATCCCAGCACTCTGGGAGGCTGAGGTGGGCAGATCACTTGAAGTCAGGAGTTCGAGACCAGCCTGGCCAACATGGTGAAACCCCATCTCTACTAAAAATACAAAAATTAGCTGCGTGTGGCAGCAGGCACTCCCAGCTACTCGGGAGGCTGAGTCAGGAAAACTGCTTGAACCCAGGAGGCAGAGGTTGCCATGAGCCAAGATTGCACCACTGCACTCCAGTCTGAATCACAGAGGGACATTCTGTCTCAAAAAGAAAACACACACACACACAAACACACACACACACACACAGAGAGAGAGAGAGAGAGAGAGAGAGAGAAATTGTCAGTATCTATCAAAAGTTTGAAGTTTTGTTCCTGAAATTTTACTCCTGGGAAGTCATTCTACAGATATAACCACATGCATGGACACAGAGAGAAATATAAAGAAATTCATTATTTTAAATTCATTGGTGGTGTTTTGATAAGAAAAAAATTCTGAAAAATAATTTTAGAGGCCTTCAATAAGGGACTGGTACATCCATAAAATGAAATATTAGCCTTTAAAAAGAATGTAGTTGATCTATATGTTCTTATTCTTCTACTTATACATTAATTCAGTAAATATCTACCCAGCAACACTACATGAAATAGAGTTTCTGCCCTCATGGAGCTTATTACAAACTAATGAGAGAAACAGAAAAAAAAAAAAAATCAATTGATAAGTAAAATAAACGTTACACCGAAACAAAGAAAACTAAGGCAAGAACACTAGGGAGAACTTGTTTCAGACAGGCTGCTCAGAAAGGGCTCTTCTGGAATAAAATTTTATACCTAAAGATAAAGACAACGAGCCAGGCCAGGCACAGTGGCTCACACCTGTAATCCCAGCACTTTGGGAGGCCAATATGGGAGGATCACATGAGGTTAGGGGTTTGAGACTAGCCTGGGCAACATGGCAAGATCCTTGTCTCTATAAAAAAATATGGTGGGACCGGTTGTCCCAGCTACTTAGGAGGCTGAGGCAGGAGGATTGCATAACACACACACACACACACACACACACACTCACACACACACACACACACACACACACACCCCCTAGCTACCATGGAAGGATCAGGGAGAAAAGACACTAGACAGAGGGAACCTCATATACAAAAATCCTAGATGAGGAAGCAATTTAATAGGGAAAGAATATCAGGCAGCTAAAGCTGAAACACAGTAAGAAAGTAGCAGCAAAGCACAAGATAAGGAGGCACGGACAGCATGGCCCTGTTCTGGCCAGGCCTTATGGGATTTGGTATAGGGTCTGAGATGCCTTGGTTCTATGATCAGCAATGATGAACGACAATAAGGTTTTAAGAGAATAACTCTTACACTGTAAAGATAAGCAAAATAAAATATATACTGGGGCTGGGGGTAGCAAGTTGGAGTATACAGAGTATGATCTTACCTACATTAAGACAGAAATATACATTTGAATGCACAAGAAAGTTTTACACATAGACAGCTACAGAAACCCAAATTACTGCTCAAAACTAGGCTAGAGAGCTGGGCGTGGTAACTCCCGCCCAGACAGGAAGATCACTTGAGCCCAGAAGTTCAGTACCAACCTGAGCAACATCGGAATATCCTATCTATATTAAAAATAAATAAATAAGTAAATTTAAAAGGTTGGATTAGAAGTTATAGGAAAAGGGAAATTTAAGATTGTACACTCTTAGGTACACACTGAACTTTTTTACCATAAGAATCATAATTCCATACTTCACATTTTCATAGTTTAAAAATTAAATCAGCCATGGCTTTAGTTGTTTTTTCTTTTTTAATTATTAATGATTTCGAGAGCATTAAATGTTATCAAAACAAACTAGGATTCCCCACAATCCACTTAAGCTTTTCATGACGTCCCATTGCCTCAAAACCAAGTTTGAACTCCCTAGGCTGGTTTTAATACTTGATCCTGCCTGCCTAGGCATGAGTCTCCGCCCCACCCCTGTTCTTCTCGCACCTTACCCTGTAGCCCAAGGCCCAGGAAGTCTCCCCAGCCTTGAGCATCCTCAGTTCAACCAGGCTCAGCC